GGCTAAGACAGGTGCTAAGGTGCGCAGTCCTAAATTGGGAATATTTCTGTTTCTGGGTCGCCCCATTTCCGAGGCCGGTGATAAGCCGCGTGAGGCTGTGTTAGCGACTATCACCAATGGTAACTGTGGCTCCGTTACACATGTTTTGGGCCCACAGTCCTGGTCTGCGTTGTCTAATACCAGCTACTGCTGGAGCTAACTGACGCTGTCCAGGTTATTTTGAATAGCTGTAGAGCCGCTTGTAGGCAACTCGGAAAGCCTCTCTGGTATTCACACGATGATTTAATGAAACTGTACACGAATGTATGCAGACGCATACAAATCCGCCTTCCACTAAATTCGCCATTTCCTCCAGCAGCGGCTCAACGACTAGAATGTAGTTTCGGCGGAATTGCTTTACCAAAATAAAAGGGGGTCTGCAGTGGTTAGTTCTGGCTATGTAGCCATCATCAAGCTGTCATACTCAATCACAGTTTGTTGCACCATTCAAGTCTCGAACTCTCGGCCTTTTGATCAGAGTATGACGCCCTAATCCTTGCTCCAGGAGCCTGGTGTCTTGCCATTGCCGTTGGCACTTGGCAGGATGTCTCTAATAGATGTCTCGTGGTAATTAATTATTGCCCTAATCACGTAAAAATGCAGAATTCGTTAAACGAGAGCGGGCACACTTGATGTCACATGATTGTGTTTGAGTTTTACTCTCGGTCTTACAGTCACAGACCCAACAGCATGATACTGTAAAGTGTAGTAAGCGATAGAGCGCCTCGTGATTCTGATTCCCAGACAAAAATTGCCATATTAGCGACGCAGACATTTTCGGAGGAGTGCTGCAGAGCCCAATTGGACAGGTAGTTTTCTGCTCTCGACATCAAGTTCCAATACGGAAAGGTACAAGTTTATGTCTTAACCCATTGGTGTGCACCCATATGGGCATATACTATCCTCAATAGCACCCTCCGCTAATTTAGGTTATTTATAGCCTGAATTTGGCGATTATTAATAATTTTGCACTTTTTTCTTAATATCAATTATTTTTTTCTCCGTTTAAGTCGATGCTTTAATGTCAGTTTGCCAGTGCTTATTTATATTTCACAAACCTTGGCATTTCCCACGAATTATGCGCCGTACTGTAGTCCTCTGAATATGTTTAATGTGATTTTTCACAAAGTTAATATCACTGGCTGTCCAAATCTACAAATATAGGTAGCGCTTTTACGTTCTGCTTGAGGTAGCGCGGTTCCCTATATTTTATGAATAATATTCTGCCTATAAGGTGTCGTGGGGAGAACGCTTTTTATTTACGTCTCTTCTTCCTATGACACAGTCTCAACACTGAACCCATCACAGCTACTAACCAAAACCGTAGTAAGAATGGAAAACTAACAAATGCAGGTGGATTCATTGCAGCACACCTGTCTCATTTTTATATTTGAATCTAAATAATAGTTGCAACAGAAGTACACACAGTTCTACATTTACGGGTTCTTCGGTGCTAGCTCAAACCGCCTAAGAATTCTAGACCATCCCAAAGCACGACACTTGCAGGCTTAAGCTGTTAAAAAATAATAAACGGTTCACATAGGCAAGTTGGGAATAAAGGGGCAATAAAGCTGCTCGAAACTTCAATATTAAACTTTATATTATCAGACTGCAGACCTGCATGAAGCGGAGTTTTGTTGACAGAACTTATTCCGAGCGTCACACTGGTAGTATACTATAAACAGCCCCGGTATACACAGAATAAACTGCTCTTTTTTAAGTAGAAGATTGTTATAGAAACTGTTCAATCAATCGTAGATCTTTTCATTCGCGACTTTTGTTGTGAGCGTTCATATTTCTCGGCAATGCGTTGAGATGTTTGGACGATTCTGAAACCATGACCCAAACAGTAAGCTGTATAAAAAGAAATTCTTAAATCTCGTTATTTGTAATTTTTAGTAAGTGCGTATATGGTTATCATTATTTATGGTCAATTAACTGAAGCCATGGAAAATCGTAAAGCTTAAGATAACATTTCTTGGAAGATCGGAACATCTTTCTAATCGACATCCAAAAGTAATTACATAAAAATGTGGCGTAAGATAATTTATCTTAGTGTACAGAAAATGGAACGTTTACGATCGCACTTTGAATTTCCAACTTAAATTATTAGTTACATAATTTATGACAGCTGTGACTTCCCAATGTTAGAAACCAAACGAAAGCGTGGCTGCTATACTCCAAACGTAATTCAACCAATGTAGAAACGAAAGAAACAACTAGAATTTCTCGTAACAACGTTTTGGAATACATACTGGACATTTGGGCTGTTTGGTTACAACCATACCTGTCATTGCACGTGATATGGAAGCGGATGTATCCGACAATTTTACAAAACCATCATTTGTAAAGGTAATTCTGCTTGTGCTGCTATAGTCACTCCATCGTTTTGCACGAACAGACTTCCTCTACCCTTGAAACTTAAGTTGCCCGTGTAGACTGGATGTTACCTTTTTCGGAATAGTCTCTTTTGCTAAAAAAGTAGTATTTCTAAACAACGTAATATTCCTCGATAGATCACAATATGTCCAATTGCGAAGGTCGACCATTACTTTGTTCATGTAAGAATTTGGGGGTCAAATCTTGGGCTACGTTCGAGTATCAAGGAGTTACTCGTGCAAATCCATTAGTTAGACCACCTGCTATATGTCACTTCACCGAAAACCTCCGCCATATTGACGGTTGGCAAGCTGTCTGGCCTTTCACAATCTGCATTTCAGCTGCCCAGGATGGAGATTAAATGCTCGTTGGGTGCTCAGTGGATGCCGCAGTTGCTTTTCTTCATCCCGCAGGGTTTCTCCTGAACCCTGAAAAGGATAAAATCCTTTCTGACATAATAATTACATTTGATCGTCCTTTTTGTTCACCTTAACGAGGCATCGAGTTGTGTATGAACATCCTCATTTTCGGATACAGGCCTTACAACAGTAGGCACGGCTTCGCATTTATCAGCTGGCTTTCTGGTTGTTGCAAATCCGTACGCACTTCACCGTAGAGGCGTGCTTGTGACGTCTGGATTACAAGATGCCAATCTGTTCACACAAACACACACATACACACAGCTCGACAGACAGCCACATGCATCAAGCACAGTGGTGACTGGGTTGCCAGTGGGAGGATATGTGGCCTGATTAATGGTATCCGTCTGCCGAGTATGACGTACTCGCGTGAGCCAGCCGTCGCCTGCTGGCATGCGTGCCGCGACCTTCAACTTCAGACGCCGTAGTGATAGTGATTTTTTTTGGCTTCGACTACCGCCTACGCTTCTGTCCTTGACTATCACCTACGCTATACCCTATGATGCACAAGCTATACAACTGAATGCAAATCGATCGTATGAGCTCCATCTTAAGGCGATATCGTTAATGAAGGCAGCTTTCTGAAAACCACCTGCTCTAATTGCATTGAAAAACGCAGTAAATGTCTTACCGACTACAGAAAATCTACTTTCTTACATAAAAGCTACTTACTTTTTAAACAGTTTAATGGTATTGGAATTTGGCTTTTGTATCATTCTTCGCGTCCGTATTTCTGATTTGGCTCTCTATTGTTACCTATCGAGCGTCTTTATAGAAACATCTATGTGCGACTTGCGCTGCACTAACAACGTACTGAAGAGGCTATGACACGTTTTATTTGGGCTCCATCCCCAGTCAAATGAAGTGTTACGTTTGAGATGGCGTGGTACGAAAATTACGATGTGCTGTCATCCAAATGCGCATCAACTGGCCGTAACAGTGAAGCGAGGAGGGGAAAGGGATGCAGATGCTGACCATTGTGTCTACAGGACAACCGACACATATTCCCTTCGATAAACTATGTCGACCCGCTTTCGAACTATAAGGACAGTATCATTATATTAGAGGAAGATGTCGTTGGGTTGCCTTTGCGTTCCCTATTTACACATTTGTTTATTGTGATATCAGAAAAAAACAGTATCTAAGTTTGTTAACGCGCTTAATTGACAGCAACCATGAGGTGTGTTATGTATTGAGAACTGAAGGCAGTTTGTAGGCAGGACGAATGTAATGAATGT